GACAGGGAGAACGAGAGCGGGTCTGGGTCTGAGCCAAATCCCTTCCACGTGATTAAATAAAAGAAAGATAACCTGCACAACATTCCTCTGAATTATGACTTTCCTACCACAGACTGGTGAATGTGGCACTTAGTCGCAACCCCCCACCCCTCACTCGCCAAACCCTGACCCACGCTATGATACTACAAGCTCCCAGCCTCAAACAAATATGACGTCTTTCATATTTTATGACAACAAAAAGGTGCAGAGCAGAAAGGAAAGCGCGTCTGGCACGGCTAGGGAGGCTACATTTGAGGAAAAAAAAATTCAGAATATAAGTTTAGCAGACCTCTGGGCAACAATTGCGCTTACCTTGTCATTTTGATAAGCGGTCACAGCAATGAAATCCGTTTCAGGAAAAACATAAGTCCTGAAGGTACTGTACGGGAGTTTGAGAATATCGTTGGCCCTCACAATGTGAAACCGGGGCTGATATTTGTGCATCGAGTTAAGAATGGTCTGCAACACACACACAGTCACAAACATGAGCAATTATAAAAGGCTCACAATACAAAGAGATTTGTTTATTCTGTGTTACTTTTTAGGATCGCTAGTTTGTTAAAACATAAGCTCTCTTCGTATTAAAATAGACAAATCGAGCCATATCTGCACTAAAACAAGTTTAAATGTCAAGCTTAATATTTGCAATAAATAAAAAAATAACTCTTACAAAATATCTCAATATGACCACGTTTGACATTTTTATTTTTGTAAACGGGTCTTTTAGGTGTTCATTTAAAAAAACAAACAAACTGTACTAAAATAAAACAATCAATTTTAAATCATGACGACATGTGTTTACTAAAGCGGTAAGTTGATAAATAGGGAAATTGACATACATTAGTTGAACTTACAAATCCATGCTTGTCAGAGATGTTATTTGTCAGCTTGAGTTTGTGAAAATTGACGACTTTTGACATCCACTGTTCACCAGTAGCCGGACTGTCCGGGTGAATGTACATCCTCTTTGGCATTTCGGGGTCGGCCTTTCCTGCCACCATCCAGCGGGAGTTATGAAATTTGTACCTGCAGTCGTCGGCTGCAACTATATCCATCAAGAGTATGTACTTTGCCTTCTTGTCCAGACCAGTGCACCTCACTTTGAACGGAGGGAACATCCGCCTGTGACAGAACAAAAATATATTATGAACACGAATGCGTTACAAAATAAATCACGGGGTAAAATTTCCAACGATATTTTAAAAAACACAATGTTTTTTAGGTGCGCGTAAATAAACTGAGGTCTAGATTTTAAGAAGTGTATTACACCGCTATAATCTCAGTGTGGCAGCCTGCTATTAATTAATGTAAGTATGTGTTGGTAAACAAATATATTATGAGTATGTACTCTCCAATAAATAAATGATGTCTTGATTCTTAATGTCACGAAAGGCCTACACACACACACACACACACACA